TAACTTGTTTACTTGGGTTTTTCTGCGTTGTTTATTTTGATTTTGGAAGATCTCGTCGGTTTATTTTAATTCTGCTTATAAGGCGAAGTTGTTAGCATATTTTATGTTAGCGATTCATAAATGTTAGTATACGGACTTTGAAAAGTGTGGATTGTCTAATTTGTGTTCGAAATACTTCTATTTGCTTAATTCATTATGCATTGAAGTATTTGGAAAGTAGCGAGTTCATTTTTGCACTAATATATTAAATTACTTATTAAATTTAAGATCTGGAAGTTTTTTTGAACGTGATGGATGTAGAAGGCTTCATAAAAACATGCACATTATGCTTCAGTCTGTTACTTCGTTAATTGTTTTACAATCTTTATAAGGTAGTTTTCTGAATAAATTGTTATAGATGTTTCTAGCTTCACTTATTTTGGTAAAGCGGGACCAGATGGTGCTTTGCTACCGTACTTTCTAAGGCTCCAGCTGTTTTTTGCTCTTCTGCTTTTCATTCAATTGGTATTGCTCTTTTCAGCTATGTTTTTTTTTGTAGGCATATGTCGGAAGGTTTTTTGCTGGAACGACATCAAAAATGTTTGGAAAAACACTTGGCTCTTTTCCCGTACAAGTATATTACATTGGACTCAAATAGGTGGTTAAATTTAAAACATGGATTTCTTGGATTTTCTGTTTTTTAGTTTTGATGGTAGAAAAATCATTTTGAATATGTGGTGGAGGAATTGTACCCGTTATTAAGATTGGTCGGTAGTTGTGGGTGTTTACATCTCATAATAAAGAATCTAAGATTTTGTACATTTTGGATGTTTGTGGCTGTTTTTTGGCGGGAAGTGATTATTAATAACAATGAGTAGAAGTTTTGGAGTGGAATTGTATTTTTAATCTTTTGTTATTCTTTGTATCTGAAATCAGTATGGCAATATCTCGAAAGGAGCTAACTGCGTCAGTTATTATGAAAATTTTTGGGAAAATTGTTGACAGCGCAATGTTACTAGCGGAAACGCTACTGGAGCTATGGAGGAAGAGGCCGACATTTGTAAAGGGTAAGAAGGCAGAGTGAGTGTTAGCATTGTTCGGGGTTTGCAAAAATCAAAGTTCCCTGGGCGAGAGATTTTGCAAAGCGTTTGTATGAGGAATTTTGTGTCACTTGTTCCTCTGACATCAGTAGTATCTAAGCTGTGCCTCTTTTGGTCTTCCTATTCTAGGTGGACGTACCAGTGCTTCAGACGCGAAAGAACAGTTTAGTGTTATGTATATGTGCTACTGACGCATGTCTGTCACTAAAAATTTCAAGTATCCGTAGATGGTTCAGTATAGGGGACATTATTGTTGGTTTCTTTTTGTAGGAATTCACTCCAAATGTCGTTCACATTACTTCTGCATCAAGAACTGGTGCTCTGTTCTTAACTGCTTTATTTTTGAAAATTTTTCACAACCACCGAAATCTCTAAATCTTTTCTTGGAATTATTGAGCAGATTAGTATACTCATCACCTCTGACAGTGTCAGTCATTTTTCTCACAGAAATCGCGACTGATATTAGTCTTGTTGGCAAAAGAAATATTCCGTAAATGGGTCGAAGGGAAAGTTTTGCTGGTATGCATGTAAATTAAGTAACATAACATCATAAAATTTGTAAAAATTATCGGTTAGTTACCTGTAGATAGCAGAAAGTGACATACTTATATTACATCGATGAGAGGATGATTTTTTTGTCGTATTTTGTTTGGTTAATAGTGATATTTCGTTGAAGACGGAGGATACAGATAATGATTTTTGAGATTTTCAGTTCGAATACGAAGATTTGAGTGTTGGTTTTTTAATAGGAGGCTGAACTTTTTGAAAAAAAAGATTTTTTACTTTTTTTTACAAGTTAATAATCGTGTCTTTCTCACACGTTGAGTGCTTTACGCTTCAGAGTTACTCTCCTCTTCTTCACAGTGTCCGCGTTAGACGTAATAGGAAAGGTTGATGAAGTGATCGACAGCGAAACGAAAGAAACTTTTGTTGAATGGATATATCGTCTTCAACTGACACTGGAATCTGGTACAGAATAAGCTTGAATTTCTTTGCAGTGTTTTTTTGTTGTTGTTGTTGAAATTTTGTTAGTGACGTGTTACTGGGAGTTGTTCAGACTAACTGTATTGTATTTTACTCTAAGGCTTCTATTGTTCTTTCCACTTTTTGTGATTTACTTGAACTTTATGCTCTGTTTCCTTGTCTTTGGTTCGCAGTTGTTGTTATGTTTATATGATGTTTAACCATGTCATACTGCTCTCCTCGTCGCCCTAATTTCGGTTTTTTTGAACACGGTTGCGCTGCTTATGGTGGTCTCCAGTTTGATGGAGGACCATCATGCGATAACCAGCACGAATCGAGGAGCATCTTTATTCCTAAATATAACCTTGCCAGGTACTGGCAACGTTTTTATCTCGAACCTCACTCAATTGGATTTCCTTCATTTCTTTTTCGAATTGCCAAGGAAAAGCGCTTTAACTTGCCCCCAGGACACTGGCCGTTTGATACTGACAATCTGCAGTTGCAAAATAGAAATTTACTCACTGGTGCCAGTGAAGACGACACTACGGTGAAGTTATGGTGTACAGGACAACAAAGTGACAGGAGAAGAATTTTTGAATATTCGGTTCGGCTCAAGCAAGATGGAATTACCGGTGAAGAATGGGAGTTATTTGCTAAAAATGGCGAATTGACCAATGAACCAAAATCAGTAGATGTTCCCTCTTCACTTTTGGAACTTCGCTGCGGAGGACATCTGGACGGTGAACGATATTTATTTGGACGATGTGAAGATTGTTTGTTGGTTGTGAAGCCTGTTTCAAACGCCGCAATTCCAATCATTAACACAAGTGTTTTGGAGTTTTCTTTGGTACCGTACATGTACAATGAGGTTATTCTACTGGATAGAAAACACTTATGGTTTGTTGATTTGGAAACGGCTATGGGATTATCCAGAGTGAAAACTTCTGACAGAATTACGGTTAGTTCTTTACTACCTCCAACTAATTTTTATTTTGTTTTATCGAACAAATGTCAAATTATTAAATTCCTTCGTTGTCCCGAAAAAGTAACAACTATTATGGAATTGTGGCATCGGTTACCCTCTTCAAAATTGCTTTTTAGCATTTAACGCCTTCCGACCACCCTCGTACAGTTCTTGTAGCTGATAGTCAAAAGGTAACCGCTGTTGATATTCGAGAGTCTTGTCGCAAAGGTAACCGTTAATTTCTGTATTTATTCTCCAGCGTATTTTGCTATTACACTGTAATAGATTAAAGTTTAAAGTGTTTTATCCAATAGCTAATTTTAGAAAAATTATTTTTTTCAATCCCCGATTACGATTCTTGTGATAGTGCTGCTCCAAAAACCGACTATGCCGGAGCATTTCAGGATCAGGAAATTAAACATTTGAAGGCATTAAAAGACATTCCAAGAATTACTGCTGTAGTTACTTCAAGAAAGTAAACTCACAATGCTTATAGTTGTGACTAGTTGTCGTCTTTTGTACTTTAAATATTGTTTAAAAAATACTCATTGAACCATTTTTTGAAGCTTTTCTGTTTGATAGTTTTAGATGGTCTATTATGAACAGTACATTCTCGTTCTTTTCCAGAATTTATATGTTGGATGAACGTGTTCCTGAGAAACCATTCATTGATATTGCTCACTCTGTTTTCAATGGTGGTCACTACGTGTATGTTGCACCACCATTCAGAGACGCATCAAACACACCATCTCGTATCTTCACATTTTATATTCTGCAGCACCTGTGTGCTCCAGACGTGCAGCAGTTCTCTTTATATGATCACGGTTTGGTTTCAAAATGGTCTATGCTTGCACCCATAAAGCGGCTTATGGAGCCAGTCGATGCGGCAAGGTTTTTTATGGAACAGGTTTCTTTGCTTGACATTTGTGAAGTTATTGAGAAATTTTTTTATATTTCTGATATTTGCTTCCGTTTTCAGCCAAAATATGGTATTCGTTTAACACGTCATCAACAAATTTCCTTGTATGGTATCGGTCCTACCAGAGCCATCCATGTTCAAGATGGTATTCTAAACGACAAATATGGTCATGAGCGACATCTATTGTTTAGAGTGACTGATGACGGAAGCATATGGGTAGAATCAGTACGTGTAGCTGATGACAGCGACTTGAAAGAAAAGGCTTTATACAGGGCTTCAGATGAGTTGAGAGCCAGATTAGTCAAAGTTTCAAAAGTTCCAAGGTTCGCCAATAAAAATTTCACTAGAACTTCAGGCGTTTAATAGGATATTTGTGGAAAGGATGTCAGGGGGGAACATTGAAAGTAGTTTTGTAGTCGCAAAGACGTCACTTTTGAGTTAGTAATGCAGAAAGCTTTTTTCCAAGCATTCTACATAGCTCATTTTCTTAACTGCAACAGATTTGACGAAAATTTGGTTAATAGCATTTGGCACGACTTAACCTCAATTTTGAGTAAAATTCCTGATTTCATTTAGACTTTTGAGGAAATTAGTACATTTTTATGACCTGGCTTCGTGATTACGGAAGTATTTTTCTTTAGTCCAGTTATAGCTCATTTTGCTTCTATTTTAATACTAACCTTTATCAAATTTAGTTGGGTATGAGAAAGGTAATTTAGGAATCAGGATTTGTGCTGTTTACAACTTC